AAAGGGGTGTACGGGTGGTTTTGGACACCCGGTATATATATATATAGAAATATAGATATATATATATAGAAATATATATATATATATATATATATATATATATATATATATATATATATATATAGATATATAAAAATTTGAACGAATGGTGTTTTTGGCCTCTGGGGACATCAAAATGAAAAAGTAAATCGGTCCCGGGCCCAGGTCTTACCATGAGACCTACGGTAATAGCTACTTCCCTATAGGGAAATTCGCTAAAAGGACAAGTATCTCTAGCTGCGTCCAATTTGAAGTCAATCGTTCAAACAAAGGTATGTGAAAGTCAGTTTAAGTTTGCTGGGACATAAATGCAATGATTTAAAGTTGACGGTCCCTGAAGAACTGCGCTGATTAACTCATTGGACATGATGTTATGAAGCTTTCAAATGCACAAGTTTAGTTTGGGGGTAAAAAACCTCCCTTTATGGTGTGATCCTGTGCCAAGGTTGACCCGCCAAAGCTTTTCTGTAATTTAACTTGTGACTGCAAACCGATTGCGACCAAGTCTCGAAGTTATTAACAAGAGGACATGCACTTCATAAAACAAGAAGTAGAATTTTGACGTAAGGGATAAGAGCACCCCTGGAGAGCGTTACTGGTTGTAACGAATGACATAGCAGGCCCGTTTTTGACCCTGTCAGCGCCCTAGGCACGTCTAATAGTAGTGCCCCTTTGCAATATATATATAACAGGGTGTACACCGACCGGGAAATCCGGGAATCATGCGGGAGACCTTTGAACCGTGAATTTTGTATTTCTACCTAGAGTTTTCAATTTACCGTGATCGCGCATGACAACAGTGACGTTTCCGTGACCGCGGGAGACAATAATAAATGTCTACACACGGCCGCGAGTGATGATCAGAATTTTCCGCGATCGCAGAAAACGATGATGGTATCTACTATCTACAGAGCCGCAACGGATGATCAGAATATTACCACAATCACGGAAGACGATTGATGTCCACACGACCGCGGGAAACCTCAAGAACTTTGCCGCGATCGCGGAAGACGATGATGATCTCCACAAAACTGCAGGACATGATTAAAATTTTGCCGCAATCGCGGGAGACGATTACCATGGATTCACGACTGCGGGATACGTACGATATCTACAGGACCGCGGGAGATATAATAACTATTTCTACATGGCCACGAGGGATGATCAGAATATTGCCGCGATCACGGAAGACGATGATAATGTCCAAATGACCGCAGGAAAAGATCAGAATTTTGCGTCATTCGCCGAAGACAATTATCTCCATATGTCCGAGGGAGATGATGACCATTTTACCACAATCGCGGGAGGCGACTACTATGTCCAAACGACCGACGGGGACCAACGGGGGTCTTCACGGCCGCGAGGGGTGGTCAGAATTTGACCGCGATCGCGCAAGACGAGGATAATGTCGTCACGACCGCGGGAAAATATCAGAATTTTGCCTCATTTGCGGTAGACGATAATAATCTCCTCACGACTGCGGTATACGTCCTTATATTGCCTCGATCATAGAAGACGATAATTTTATGTCCAAACGACCTGACTGCAGAAAATAGTAAGAATCTTGCCGCAAACGCGGGAGACAATTACGATACCTACACGGCCGCGAGGGGTTATCAGAAGTTTACCGCGATATCATGCAAATACTACCACGAATTTTTTTTAATTTCCAAATTTTTGGCGCCCCCCAAAAAAGCCAATTGCCTCGCGCCCTAGGCACGTGCCTACCGTGCCTATTCGGTAAATCGGCCCTGTGACAAAGGAAAGAAACATATGGTAGTGGACTATTCACAAAGGATAAATAAGTTCACTCTACTTGATGCCTATCCACTGCCAAATATAGACGATCTTGAGCCAACCAGTAGCAACTAATAAAGTATTCAATGCAATTAATTGACCTCAAACAAGCTTATTGTTGTAGAACACCTAGCTAGGACAAAGGCAATAGTTGCTAAAGTAGGGCGCGTAAATTGTCATAGAATTTACAAACAATCTGTATTGAGCTAACTTGAACTATCGACCGCAACACGTCATCAACCTCAATGCAATCTCAAGTGTCCGGTGTATATAAAACAACCCGGTGACTGATTGGCATTCATTCCCTGATTCGATCTCGACTTACTGCTCTGCACACACTCCTGACGACCCCCCTGGGCACGATATCCCTCTGGTTGCTTCCAGGTATGTCTTGTCTGGCTCGTCCTATCAAATCTTGCTCCCATACAGTAATTATTCTAAATTAATGTAAAGTTGAGTCCTGGTATTTTAGTGCATTTTATATTAAGTTTGTATGTTTGTATAATATTTGGGGTGTAATAAAGGTCATTTGTTTGTCACTTGAGAGTTTAATTCACCCTGGCTCGCCAACCTTGACATCATCATCAAATACCTATATGTGAAGATGAAAAGCCATACACAGTTTTGAGGCCGCTGGTCGCCTGTTCCAATTCAGAAGAATTCCATTTGGTGTGACTAACGGCATAGACTAAGAAACACAAGTAGACTCCTCATCCCATTGTAAATTTCGAAGCTTGTTTTTTGCATCTAGTTCATGTACGTCCACACTGATTGCTAGTGTACAAAAAATTTTGTTCGTTAACATTATCATCGACAACCGCAACCGTGGTGAAATATTGAAAATCTCCAGCGGGCCACAATCACGGTAACACTATCATCGACACTCTAAATGACAGCGACTAAATCTTGAATGTCTCCTGCGGGCTGCGATCATGAGGACACATCACCGTCACCCTCGGCCTCGGCGATATCGTGAACATCTCCCTTGGTCCACAATCCACAATCACGGAGACATCATTATCGTCACCTGCAATCGCAGCAAACTGATGGTTTAAAAAAAAATATTTTTTTAAATCTAAAAAAATATTTTTTTTCAATCCTCTGCGGCCTCTTTTTGCTTGCAGCCCTAGGCTGCAGCCTAATCGGCCTAGTGGTAAATCCGGCACTGCTAACTGCCTGTGCTGTCTATGTCTAAATCACTGTGATCTTCATCAGGTATGATTCCATCGTCATCTAGGTCACTTATTTCATCATCCAAACAGTCTCTAATTTCACTACTATTCATTTTAATGAAATCTTTCACAAAATAAAACAATGAAACATAACCAAAACAGCTGCACAGTAGACTTATGCACATCGTTTTGCAGCTGACATAATTCTTCTGCCCATAGAGTAATCGCCAGTTTTTTTTGTCCTAGGACGCTAGGCATGAGCCCGGAATTGTTTTCCACATTACTTCAGGCTAGACCTAGGGGTTACGGCATTATCACTTAAATAAAATCCATTGGTGATTTGGCGGGATTTGAACCCGGGACCCCAGCAATTGGAGTCCCGTGCTCTAACCACTAGACCAGCTAGCTCCCCCACAGTTACAGTAGTCATACCTACTATATTAAGCCCAGTTTGATCGAGATTAAAGTGAATTAGACGCGATTCTGTAAATGCTTGCGCCATCGACACGGGCATGTCGATCGGCACTCGGAGGGTTACCTCATGGGAAGATGTGCCGCACAAGGTACTTCACTCTGTCAGATAGCTATTGTGTAATGCGACTAATTGTACACCTCATGTCTCATGAGAGATTTTCCAAACATAGTCGCAGAACCACAATGAGAATATCCCTACCTTTATGGCTGACAAGCCCTGGTCCAGTATTGATGAAGAAATATGTCTGTACAAGTAAAAATGATGCCCTTGTAGAATGATTAGATCTCTGAGAAGCAAATCATCAATATACTTTGATTTGGAGGGAAGGTGGTTCTGAGTCCCAAGTATCACTAAGACATCTTGTGCCAGCTGGACTACAGAGAGTATACATCTAATGAGTGTCCAAACGATCAACGTGAGGATGATCACGAGTACAATGCTGAAAATATTGTAATCAGCAGGAAGTTCCAGAAGCACGAAACAATCCTGATCCAACATCATCTGGAGCTCCAGAAGAGATGCTCTTGGATAGGATTCGCCCAAGAGGATAAATATCAGACCTCCAGCCTATCCTACACATTATGTCTGCTACAACTATTTGAAAAACTAGTGGGGGAGAATGTATTTAATGCGCTTTTGCATACCATAGAACCAACTTTTTTAGTTGAAACAGCTGACTAAATTATTTAATTATTCCCTTTTAATATGAATACTCATAAGGTAAACATGGGGAACTACAGTTTTGAGATAAAAAATATGCCTATATGTTAATCGGGAATGTGAGCTATCATCATGCCAAATTTCTTCCCAATCCGTCCAGTAGTTAATGCGTGATTGAAGTTCAAACAAACAAACAAACAAACACACAAACTTTCACATTTATAATATTAGTATGATAATAAAAGCCACATTTTGGTTACTCTTGTCTTTATTTACAAAGAAATGCCGTTGTCTTTAAGGCTTGAAAGAAAGTTTGATTGAAGTAGACAAAGAAGAAATGAACCCTATAGGCCTATATCAATTGAACTATGGTACTTCAGAAGTCTGACCAAAGACTGTAAACATACATCAACAAAAGAAAAAAAAAACTACATCGGATCAAATAAATTTAAGAAAATAAAATAAAGAAGAACTAGGCCTACGTTTAGTTGTGCACTCTTTGTTTATGAAAATCTTCTACTTAAACACAGGAAAACTGTGTAACTAGATGTGTCTACCATCCTTCTCACTCCTTTGTATGATAGGCCACGTGTCATCTGGTGGTGAATCTGTTAAACTGACTGTATTTAAAGACCAAACCCCTGATAAAATATTGTTACAATGTGTAGGCTACATACGTTTTCAAATTAATGACCCAAAAATCACTTCTTTCTTCAAAATATTTTTTAGTTTTATCCAGCTTTTAACAAATGTGAAATATGGATGTTATTCTTCCAGCTGCTTAGGAACAGCATTTAACAGTGCCAAGAAAGTAAAGAACAGTGTAAAGAAACTAAAATTAAAATTTCTAATTTCAGGTTCTTAGCTTTCATGCACTCAATGTCACATTCAATCAAGTTTTACTTCTTTGGCACGATTCTGATACCAGGTAATGTGAACCAAAAACATATGAGAATCAATATTGTAAGTAATGAGAGTTATAAGCTAAGACGAATACTTAAAGTTAAAAATAAATACATGTACACCTCTAAACTATCATAAACATAGAAATACATTGCCCCAAAGAAGTAACAAATCATAATTTAACCCCAAATTTTTTAGAAGAGGTGAAACCAGTGTTTGGTGAGTCGGTGACTCAGCTGGTAGCGTCACATATTTCGGGCCCAAGGCAGTGATGTCGTGGGTTCGGATCCTGGTCACTGCCGAAAACATTTTATCAGTACAGTTCACCTTACTGTACCGGCTCACCTCTTGCTTTGCTGGATACGTTCCACGCACAGATCTGTAGTCTATGTGGACGGGCAAATGCAGGGTTAAAAGAGGCCGCCAACCTCTTAAAAAAATTATTATTAATTTATAATATACAGGGTGACTGGGCTAGAGGTTTTGAGAAACACTTAACTCATGCAGTGTATACAAATTCATTTTTAATTTCAAAATTTATTAAAAAAATATTAAAGAAAGAAAACCGTGAGAGTAAAATAACCACAGATAAAGTTATGGTTTAATGCCAACAACTGTTTAAAAAATTACCTGACTTCCCACTAAACATGATTACATGATTATTAGTTAATTTGAGTTATTAGTTGATTATTAGTTATTAATTTAACTCTATGACAATGCCTATCTCATGTATATGATCAACGGCAAATAAACCATTTCATTTCATTTCATTTAGGCTAGTATCATTGACTATTGGATACTGAAGTTGTATTAATAGTCAAAGCTAGTAGTCACAATATAGGCTAAGTTGTTATGACCGGGAATGTCACAACTCATTAGTTACATGGAAGTATCGCATTTTCCTTCACTGCTAGTTTGTTGTGAAATAATATTATTAAACTTAGGCAACATCTTATTTACTTTACTGAACGTTTGTATTTCGCTGAGACCGCCGCGGCTCACGTGCGGTTGGAGTTACTAGAGCTGGCATGAGGGTGGTAGCCGCCGCGGTTGACTGCAGTTGATACTAGGATCACCGACATCTGCACGCTCGCCCTGTGGACATGGCTCTCTGTGTGTTGGTGTATTGTGTAGCTGTAGCTGTAGTTGTTGTAGTGCTTATGGTGTAAGTTTACAATGGCCATGCAAGCTGCTGTGGAACCAGAAAACTTTGATACTGAACTGTTCATTGAAGAAGTACAAAAAGGAAGATGCATTTGGGACATGCAATGCAACGACTATAAAAATCGGGTTTTAACAAAGTTTGCGTGGCAAGTGTTATTCAAAATTTTTCTGAAAAGAACTGCCATGTGGAACAAAGAAAAAAAATTGATAAATACTGCCTGGCTGTCCAGTGACGGTCAATTTACACCGCAACAGCAGCAATAGCCTTGTCTACAGCCGCTGCCATTTGTACGGTCGTAGACGGCCACCACAGCGGCTGTCTCCCTCATGTGTACATAGCCTTAATGTAGTGTAGTTAGAGAAAACATTGTCCACAGTTTCTCTCCCTTTACAGAGGTTGCAAACCCCTTGCATTTAGCTGCACTGGGAGCGTTTTTGCAAATGTTGGCTACTGCTGCTATATGTAGTCAACTCTTCTAGAACATGACCACAAACACTTGAACTCAATACATTACTATTCTTTGGCTGTGCTATGTGCTCTAAGTAAGAACGGGGTTTGCAATGCGATCATCCATGTCCACACTCAGTGCATTATTGATGTTGTAACCTGTACCTGCACTAATTTAATTTCTTGGTTGCAATAAACAATTTGAAACATGTTTTGTTATTGCCAACCTGGAAAAGATGTCAACATTGATAACAAAGGTTAAGATGACTTATTATGAAGGGTCCTACTATACACTGATAACATACGGTATGGATGTATGAACTTCTAATTTTATGTTTGTTCTTTTAGATGTCTGAAAACTTATGAAGTATACTTCTGCAGTGGGGAATGTCAAAATGGGAATTTCAGTAAAATTACAGACAGAAATATTATAATGCTCTCTTATCAGTTTAAATCTCCTTCAGGTAAATTAATTTGTACCTTTGTACTAATAGTTTATTTGTAATTAATAGTAAAGCCTAAGATAGTAAATTTAAAATATGAAAAGTTTTTACGACCTTTGTCAATTTACGAGTCTTCAAAGGAAAACTTATGAAATTATTTTACTACCAGACTTTTTAAGGAAAGGTTGGGAAATGACAATGATCACATGTTTTAATTGATCTTTGCAGCTTTTTCTTTATAATAAATTTTGAACTGCTTAAATTATGCTTGAAGGAATATATATTGACATAAATACACACTGTATAATACAGTTTTAAAGGACTATACTCAATTCCCATACGTAGGACGGGCCAAAAGCTTGTTTTTTTTAATTTAAATAAATTTTGTGTGCTAATTTTTTAGCCTATTTTAATTTATAAAGGAATTCCGCATATCTACAGGAAAACATCTTTCTAATAGTTTGTGTATGTGTAGATTTTCCCTGCGATGCAGACTAGCTGAGAAAAAAAGGTTGACTATTAATATATAGAAAATTGAATCCCAGATGTTTTTAACTCCTATGAATATATAAGCTCTTTCCCTTTTTCTTTACAATATATATGAATACATTTTTGGTTTATACAAAAATTTGTTTAGTTACATACTGTCCTAACCCTTTGATAAAAAAAATGTATTTGAAATATACGAAATACCATAATATAAAAAACTTTAAAAAATATGCGTTTCTTCATTACAAAGGTCATAAGTAAAGTGGACCTCTAACAGAAAAAAAAGGTGGTAGAAAAATTAATTATAATACAAAAATATGCAAAGGTACAACACCTTCCCCTATAAATATAAAACCCTATGCCAAACTTGACCATTTTAATAAGAAATTAAATTACTGAACACCAGTAAAAGTCATCGGTACTCTGATGTTGATCTATGATATAAAGTTGCCTAGGAAAAATAGTAAAAAATGATTTACAAAAAGAAATATCTGAATGAAATTTCTCAACGGATAAAATATAAAATTAAGTATGGTATCTACTTCAAAAACATATGGTACACTTTATTTTGTTAAATTGATAATTTTACTTGACATGGCTAAATTAAGGTTTTGAATGTGGCCTTAAAAAATATTTGTTTTCAATACCGTTTATTATAGATACTGATTAAAAATGTAAGCACATCGGATATCCAGGATTATAAATTAACAAATTGAAAATTTAGAAAAACAGTAGAATTAAAATAAAACAAACTAACCATGTAACTATGTAACTATGTTGTTTAGCATCAAAATAAGATTGATTTATTTACCTAACCCGCCATGTTAAACTTCCCTAGCCCAAGCGTGATGTATACAACTTCTTTACTTCACGAGTGAAGTTAAGTTTCAAAAACTCACTCGGTGAAGTAATGAAACCCATTTAAATAACATTGAGTGCTCAACTTAAAAAAAATATACCTCTAAGGAGCCGACGACACTAGCTGTGCGCTTGAATTTTATTGTTATGCTTTAAAGTATTTCCCTAACCTAGCTTTGTTTGTAATAGAATGTTACTGTTAGAAGATGAGTGAAATGGATAATGAAAAATATTGTACGTAACCCCCTGTATATTGTGGGGTCAGGTAAAATCTTGTACATTACACGTTACGCAAGAGCGTGATTACATCATACCGCTCGTTGCACAACATCCACATGCGTTATATAAAAACGCTCTTACTACGCTTTTAAGGTAAATAACTATAATACCTATCTTAATAACTATAATTAATAACAATAATAACTAAAATATTCTGTTTATTTTCCAGATTCTCTTTCCACAGAAGGTACCAGGGGAAAATATATAGTCAGAGCGAGAGATTATTGGGATCAAGTCAGTGATTTTTCAGATGTGCTTCAATATAATTAAAAATTATATTTTTTATGCCAAATATTTTACAGGACGTGTTATTTTAGTTTTTTAATAAAGGGCTTGACTTCCTCAACCCCATTTAGTAGTGTATCTTAGGCCTACATACAGGGTATCCCGTGAGTACCCAATTCTCTTATACCATACCATTTATAGTAACGGAGGTCACCTACCTGGATATATATACCTGGATATATATACCCGGAATTCAGTATGTCACTACACCTAATTTGAGGCTTGACTTGGTATTTTGTCTGATTGAAGAGTTACAGTAATTTCACTCTTGTTACTTTGCCAACTATGTTTTGGAATGTTTTTCAATCACAAGGGTTTCCTTCAACTTAAGCTTACAAAATATTGGACAAATTCACAATCCATCCATAAGAAAACAAATTATTGGCTTAAAATATAAAAGTGGTGTTAGTTACGGATAAAAATACCTGGAGCATATTATTACTTGTACACTATGGTTCTGATAGACTTATTAAACCTGCATAGCTAGTGTTGAGAATCAGAAACACACTTTTAGGAACCTTATATTGAATATAGAGTAACATTCTTATAAGTCCTGTAGAATTTACATTAAGGGGTGAGTTCATAAAAAAATAAAAAAATCTGTAATTATTAGTCAAAATATTGAAACCTTTTCTGGATATTACCTGTAAACCATAGAAACAAAACAAATGGGTTGGATTTTTTTCATTCCCCGTTTTACAAGGGTTTACTAGATCATGTACGGATTAAAATCGATAAAAGATAATTGATAACTTTTTCTCTCTAAGTGTTTCTCAAAATATGCTCAATGGTCTGTAGGATGGGTTTTCTTTGGAATACAACAATTAATGGTCCTGTAACATTTTGTATGTTTTAACTAGGTAGTTTTTTTTGAAAACAATTAACAAAAAACATAGTATTAAAATATGTTCTATTACCCTACAGAACATAGAATTGAACAAGCTATTAATAGTCAAAGGTTATATCTAGGGTAAAAAATACGACTTTCGGGAATCCACAGAATCAGCTGTGATCTTTGTTTGAAAGCAGCTGTGGTCCCGCTGTTCCAAAATAAATAAACAGCTAATATATGATACCGATACCAATACCTATACAATTAAATATAGTAGATAAAATTAATTTTATATAATAACTAGGTATTGGTCAAATAATTGTATTACTAAAATACTCAAAACAAAACAATCAAAGGTTGAAAAAAAACACGATACATTATTAACTTGAAAATATTTTTTTTCAAGGCAAATAAAACTCGTATGGTCTTATATTTTATGTTTTTTAGATACAGAATTTAATGGACAACAAAAATATGTTAAAATACCATTAAAAAAATCTGTTTTTTCATGAACTATATATGGATTTGACTTATAAAATTTAAGTACTGGTAAAACATTGCTTTTTTCTATACCCTTATTTTGTGTTGTCAATAAGAATGTTTTTATTATTATTTTATCATTATACAAAAAACGAAGTGCAATAAATAAATACAAGCTGCTATACCCGTGCTTTGCAACGGGAAGGAAATGTGACCTAGAGCAAGGCCACCTAGAGAGCTATTAAAGTAATTGTCATGTGTGTTTTGAACGGCAACTCTATGATTTGGTTTGAAAATATAAACTGATTTAAAAGTGTAAACCTGCTTACTTTCAAACCCCTACTTTTTATGTTAATAGATCCAAAAGAATATGACAACATACCTTAGTGTACCAATAGCATCAATTGCTTCATATTGATGCTTCACAAATGACATGTTTTACCATAATTCTTCAACTGTAGTCAAGCCTCTTTACATGTAGCTTACTATATAAATTACAAAATGAAACTTTGAGCAATTCTTTACAAAACGTGTACAAACTTTCTTTAAAACCAAACATAACCCTCCTAAATCTACATAAAACGTCACAAACATTTTTTTCGAGTAAATAAACAAACATCAGTTCATTATACTGACCAGCTGTTTCATTAACTAAATTAAATTAAATCATGTTAACTTAGGAAGCATGCCAGGCGTAGCCCTTTGGAAATCAGCCTGTGGGGCAGAGCCCTTAGGAAATTCGTCCATATCAATACTTTTCGGCAAATCTACATACTCTAAGCTTCATTTTGATGTGCCATATGCCTATATTTTTATTTGGTAAATGGCCTTTACCGTTTACATAAAATTTGATTGTATCACTTTAATAATATAATAGATAACAGAACACCAATCCTATTCATGTGATATTAATCAATTAATTGTGCTTTTGAAAGAGTTGTTGTAAAAGACTAACTAAACAAAATGAAAGTAAAAGGTAAAGGATATGTTTTAGCATGTGAAGAGCCATATGTTATCATCCTTTGAAGAGCAGTGTCCTGATCAAAACATGATGAAAGAGCCGAATACTTGATAAACATAAAAAGATCAAAGGAAACACATTTATAAAATTCGCCTCAAATACTGCTAAGTGACTGTTTCATGTTCTTAAAATGTTAAGTGAAAATGTCTTAGTTTAATTAGTAAATTTCTGCCAAATAACCGTCAAATAAAGTAATCATAATTAATTACACATCTATATTAAAAAATATCGGTTTTTCTTTTCCGAGTCCGTTCGGCTCTTCTACCCGACCGATTTTCATAATTTTGGTCTTAAATTAAAGGTATGCACACTTAAATTTGCCATCAAGCATCAGCATTCATTTATCTACAGTATTACTTGACTAAAAAACATAAATTAGATTTTTTTTTTATTGTTACTTCAATTGAAGATATATTTCCTCAGTTATAATTACGTAATCCTATATGTTTTGGTCTAAGAACCTTCAGTGAAATACCAGCTTTCATTTGAGCCCTTGATTATTAAGATCGGACGTACCTGAAGCGCGCTGCTGAATTCCAAACAATAAAAAATGTAATTATTTTGGGAATTACCGACGACCAGTGATCAATAACCCCATTTTTATTTTAGTTTGTTTATATGTTTTGTTCTTAAAATACTCCTAGAAATAAAAGCTTTCATTTGAGATATAGATCGTTCGTATCAGTTATGTTCAAAATACTGTATTACTCAATCAAAAAACATAAATTTTATATGTTAAGGAAAAGTTACTCTTTGTAAAGGAATAAACAATAATTTTATATTCCTCTATGTCAGCTGTTTACAAATGTTTAACAACATTTGTTTACATCAATCATATGTACTTTTGTATTTTTCATTACAACAATTCAATTCTTTCTAATAAGTCTTACTCATTTTTCTCTTTACGTTTTTTATAAAATTAAGTTTTTTTACACTAAATTCACTCGGTCCTTCAGTATTATTCCCCATATGTTAAATTGTTTGCTCTTTTTAAATTATACAACAGGTCTTTTAAATGGCACAAGGCTTATTGTAAAGAAAATGCATAAAAATATTTTAGATTTGGAAATAATAACGGGGAAGAACATCGGGCAACGTGTACTCCCAGTGGCGTAACAAATTTGTACGGCTCCGCTGCAAACTTATTTTTTGGGCCCCCCCTCTCATGAGTTATTTTTAGACCACCGATACAACATAATCAAACACCCTCTCCCTTCCCCCTCCCCCCAGAGTTATTTTTGTACCACCGATACAATGATGAAACAGATTAATCATAAAAAGAGTGGTAAATAAATTATGAAAAAAATATTAAATTAAAAATTTAAATATTAAATTATGGGCTATGTTCCATAAAAGGATGTATTAAGTATTTCAGTCGTGGTTTGATGAAAATGTTACATCACTTCATCATTATATCAATATTAGTGATTGTAAATAGTTTTGAAATCAAATTAAAAAAAACCCTTTTTTTCATCGTCTATCAGAATTTTTATACTGTATCAAGGAGGTTAAAAATTTTACATTTAATTTATCACACATATTATCAATTTTTATTACCCTGATAATTAGACCAATTTGTTAATTACAAGGCAAAAATGTGGTTCGAATTCCCCTATTAACCCCCTTAGGCCCCTTAGTTGCCTTTAGATGTATTGGCTATTAATTAACATCTGTGTCTAAGGAATATGTCGGCCTTAGCCCCTTTCAAAACTAAAAGATTGGGCCACTCATCCTACACTCATCTCCATTAATTCTTGGCTTAAAATACCTACATTGGTATGGTCACCATTTCAAAGTAAAGTATTAAAGGCAATCAATCAATTATTTAAGATGGGGACGCCACTATGTGCGTATTTTAACCCAAATGTGAATGAAGGATGAGAAAGTGTTAATTTATTAGGTTAGTTTAATCTTTGGTTATAATTATCTCATACACTAAAAGCTGGTTAATTTAATAGATTAACGTACTTTTATCACATGCTAAAATAGCCTATTGCATTTTTTATTTTATCTTTGTATGGATTTCAAGCGTCTTATTATGTTGTAAGTGTTTATCTTACAACAAATGTCTTTAGTATTGGTTAATTGTGAGGTAAAATAAGATATGGGCTAACAAACACAGTCAGTACAGTAGCAGTATATTGTATTTAACAAAATACAATCAATATTAGGACAAAACTAAAATGTAAAATAATATAATATTAAAAGCCCCATCCAACGTTCATGACTACAGGCTCCAAAGTAACAAAATGTTTGCAGACGACATAAGCAGTGTACGAAATCACTGAGAAGTAAAATATTTCTCGGTGACGAAAGTAAGATTGTATAATAATCAAAGACCCACGTTTCCCGCTCACCGGTTCGCGGGCCACCTCAGCTCCCGGGCCACCCCGCATCGCGGGCCCTGCGGGCTCTTCTGTTACGCCACTGTGTACTCCTGCCGCACATTGATCTTTTGCCTTCAGATACAACTGTGCCATTTTCTTTCAAGCGAAAACAATTTCAAATTAAGGTAGCATTTTGCATTACCATTAATAAAGCGCAGGGGCAAACAATTGATCGGGTTGGAGTCTACTTGCCAGAACCAGTTTTTAGCCATGGTCAGCTGTATGTCGCCTTATCGAGAGGAAAATCATTCGAAAAAGTTAAAGTGGAAATAAAACCAAAAGGACGACGCACATTGAATATTGTATGGAGAGAAGTGTTGTAAAGGCAGATGATTTAATAT